AAAACGAAAAAGGTGGGTAGCACCCCTCAGAGAGGGACTTGTTACCCTGGACAGAGCTCCCACCACTCTGACCAGGGCCCGCGACGTGGTGCCACGACCTGAACTCACGCTTCTGCCTTGAACGCCTCCCTGGCAGATGCTCGCTCAGCGAGGGCAGCCAGCCGTCTCTTGTAATCAGGGACAGCAGAGGCACTCGAGTGGGCAGTCGGCACAGCGGTGCGAGCGATGGTCTTGCACCGCGGTTTCGGAGCCACAGACAACGCTGAAACTGCAGCAGCACGATCAATATACCGTCGTACTCGATTGCTGGGGCCGAGTCCTTGGCGGTACTTATTAAACACCTCACGACCTTTCCTTGTTGGCCGCAGGCAGGCCTTGTCAAGGTTACGCGAGCACCGCTGGGCCCAGCACCAGCACCGCTGGGCCCAACACCCACAACGAACACACCAGCTGCAATCGATTAACCTTTGATTCTGAGGGCTCTGGAGCACTGGGGTGGATCTCGTGGGACGCACTATCAGGTACCCCAGGGAACGGCGGTCGACCTGACGAACGAACTCGGGGGCCCCAGAGCAACCCAGAGCCTCGCGGGACGCACCCTCGTGGGCGATCCTCAAACACTGCTTGCGCTGCGTACCGAGCGGTCCCTCTTCCCACTCGTGCCATCGTGTGGTCAGTTGGACAGACCGACGGCTGGCAAAGGGTCGCTCGCGCTTCGTTCTCGACTGGAAAGCAGGGAGCACAGCAGCAGCAAGCTTGACAACATTCGAGGCCGTCGCAACCTCGCTCTCGAGTGGGGTGGCAGCCTCGGGTGCTACATCCTTGTGGGGGCGAATCGCCACCTTGGCAAGTAGGTCGGCGGCACGGTTACCTTGCGCTGGCGCGCGAAGGACAGGCGGGAGGTTACTTATCGCATCCTCGCTCCGATGGGTTCTCACATGCGGGATTGGCTCAACGTGACCAAATCCCTTTGGGAGACCAGTCGGAATCTGAAACTCCTGCGAATACCCTTCCAGCACGCAACTGCTCATGCTGGGGGAGCAGCGCCTGGGCGATCGCTGCCCTGCAGCCTGCATGCGCGTGCGAACTACGATCAGCGATCTGGCAGGCCACCTCGAGCGGGAGATTATCAGCCATAGCTGGTGTCTGTGGGGAGCCTCCAGGCACAGTGCCACGCACCATAGAGGGGGTGGCTTCGGCCTGGGGGTCGGACAGAACCGCCGCAAAAAAAAAAGCAGCACGCTGAAAACACGACAAAATCGGCATGGTGCTGCTGCCGTCAACTGCGATGCGCAGTCGATCGGCATTGCCTGCGAACGCGGTGGCTTCCTCAGCTTCTAACTGAGGAAGCAAAATCTTATTATCTCCATTCAATATTTGGGCGGTCGAAACTTTACGGACAGGGGGAACGCCGCCTGGAAGGATCGACGCGACACCTTTATAATGGAGCAAGCTTGCAGGGTCCCCCTTGGCGGCCGCAATGAAGGACCCAGGGGCCTCAGATTCCGCCCGAGCGGTGGGCACTGCAGGGGGGGTGCAGCAGAAGAGCCTGTGATGAACAGTGTCGGGTTCACCGCTTTCTCACATGCCAGCGCGACCAGTGCAGCAACCGTTTTCATGCGCCGCCTGCTCAGCCCAGAAGCAGTCGCATATGGCAGCACGAACTCAATACTTTTGGTGCTTAGACAACTTGGACCTAGTCCATAGACAGCTTCTGAGTATGTCCAGGTTAGCCCTCGCCCCTTCAGGAAGCCCCCACCCCGCCCACAGCGTCCTCCCATGGGCATCCTGGAGCGCAGTGCCAAACATCTTACCTAGCATTGCAGTAGAGCGCTGGGTGAGCTGGATCGCGGCACCGCCCTGGCTGGCCCGCGCAATGGCTGAGGCGGGGCGCCGCCTCGCGCGGGCGGGGCAGAGCGGCGCTCTGCCGATCGGGCCTCGGGCGTGGGCCCACGTGGATCCAGGCAGCCCATGGGGGAAAACTAGGTCCCACGTGCGTTTCAAATCCGCCAGGCTGGGCAGCGCTCCGTCGGGGAAAGCAATTGCCTGCCAGATCATGTTACTCCACTGGGGCGCTGACCCCATCGCCTCGCGCAAAGCAGGCTCACCATGCAATGCAAGCTTGGCGCTCATACTGGCGCCTCTCGTCGCGGGCGCCAGGGAAGACATAGCCTGTCTACGAAGGGCGAGCAGCTCCTGATCGTCAACTCCGTTGATCTCGACGCCTCACTGAACCGCCATCTTGGTGCCCGTCGCGTAGACCCGACCGAGAAGGTCGCCTGCTTTCCGCGCCGATCGAAACTTGGACGCCTTGCTGATTCTCTGCTTGGACTTCTTCGGCCGGGTCCGCTTCTCCCTAGCCGCGCCAGGATGGGCGCGACGCCTGCCGCAAGCGAAATCCGTGCCAAGGCAGGAATTGGCCACTTTGGACTTGTGCTTGGACAGGCCGATCATCTCTGCAACTTCCTGGCCAAGGAGGTTGTCGCTGGCCGCGGCCGCTACTTTGTCATTGAGGGTCGCCTGCAGGCGCTCCGATACTGCTTGTTGAAACTGAACACCAGCTCGCGCAGCAACTCCGAGCACGATGTCACGATCGCCGCCGCTGACGTGGATGCCTGTATCATCAGTGCAGCTCTCGAAGTCAATCCCAGGATTGCGGCGATGAGCTGGTCGTACTCCGACAACGTGAAATCTCGAGCTGCAACGTCCGCAAATGCATAGCCTGCAGGAAGACATGCCTCGCAGAGAGGGCCGTGCCACTGTGATGTAGGCCAAGCCGTATGATACGCGGAGCTTGCCACGTGTTGAATACCATCTCGAGGATTGGGAGTGGCACCCCATTGTAGCCTATCCGGTCTCGAGACACGTCTGGGGGAATGCCTCCGTAGAATTTGCTAAAATCCACCAACAACAGGAGGATGTACTTGTCATCGCTTATCGCTGCCTCACTGCGAGCCGCCTGCGCCCGCGAGAGGTCAAGGGTGCCCCTGCCAGCACGCGCCCCCAAATAAGGGCGGCGCAGGGGGCGATGTAGCTCGGCAAGATCACGCCGCCGAAGGTGCTGCCAGACACGGCATAGGCCTGAGTACAGGATAGTCAGGCGGTGACCCTGGTCAGGTTTCGCCAACATCGGCATCGCGATGAAACATAGTTGCCGTGGTAGGATCCCAAGGCGCTCACCTCTTCAACAAGTGTAGACATCACATCAAGGCCAGCACCTGGTAGTAAACAAAAGTGCCGAGGATGGACACGATCAATACTGGATGCCGTGAGGTGCGGGGAACTGATGGCGACGTCGCGGATGGTCTGGCTGCTGGCTCGGGGTATCGCTGACCGATCATGAAGCCAAGCGCGGTTAGGAACCTGGCTAGCAAGCCAGAGCTTCTCATACTTCCGAACTTCTGCGTTAACAGTGTCATGCGCGCGTGCAGAAAGACCACCTTCGGAATGTGGGGCATCGGGTGTGGGGCATCGGGGGCCCTCGTAGAGCGATGAATGCCTTGGCTGCCATTTGATGCCGCTGTGTCACACCAATCCTGCCAGCGCTGTCGATCGTCCTTCACATCATTCTGCGAGTCGAACGTCATCTGATATGTCCTGACGAAGCTTCTCAAGGGCATCAGCTGCAGCATGGGCATCGCGATGAAGCCGTGGAGCAACTGTAGCAGCATGCAAATCGTCCTCTTCCACATCATGTGCCTGACAGTGGAGCGGTCGTGAGGCTGCCCCTGGCTTGGGGGCGGGGCTGTGGATTGCTCCCAGAGCTGCTCTCCCCCCCCCAAAGCTGCACGCCGCCCCTCCAGTCCACTGGAGATCCGTCCACGCAGCCCCACCAGCCGCGGCACGCTCTCCACCCCTCGTGCCATCAGCGGCCCGAGGGCCCGTGGCACTCGAGGGGCCCACGGGCACTCCAGACGACGAATCCTCATTTGCACTAGCGTCTGCAACCAGGAGGAGGAGGAGGAGGAGAAGGAGGAGGAGGAGGTGGAGGAGGAGGACGAGGAGGATTGGGGGGGAGGAGGATGAGGAAGAGAACGGGGAGTGGGAGGAGGGGGGGAAGCTGAGGAGAAGACGGAGGAGAGACTGGGGCAGGGGGGCGGGAAAAGGAGCGCCACTGTCGCCACGTGCGTGAGCTCTTGGCAGCAGTCCAGCGGAGCAACGCCTTCCCGAAGGAGGCGCCTCGGCCTTCGGGGGGTGCTGCAGATATCTTCGCCACTCTCGCGAGCGCACGGGATGCCTTTCGGTGGCAAATCGTGGGAGCTTGTGACACCCTCTCACTTCCGTCTTTAGCGTCCACTAGCGCCGATTTATGTCTGGGAGTCGATGAGATAGCGTCATTGTAGCGTCGATCAGCGTCGGTGTAGCATCGATTAGTATCGATTCGCAAGAGCCGACAAGATGGTGCGGGAGGCTCCCAAGAGTTGCCACCGAAGGAGGTCCAGCAGAGTTGCGTCTTATGGGTTCCCAGTGGGACCTCGCGTTTTCTGGGCGCCGCCAACTGCGCAGTGTCGCCAGTTTCGTGAGCTCCGGGGGGGCCCAGCGGACTGAGATCGGTGCGTCGGGAAGCCCTTCGTACTCACCCTCTCTACCTCGCTCTCATATCCTTTCATATCTTGGTCGCCGCCCTTCAGCATTCCCCGTGATTCGACCTGTTCTCGTTCACCTTCGTTTCGATGCATATACCATTCAGTGGGGGGGGGCGCTCACATGAGAGGAGGAGGAGGTGGAGGAGGAGGAGGAGGAGGAGGGGGAGGAGGAGACAGAGGAGGGCGCGGGCGAAGAGGGTCGGGACACCATAGCAGGAAGGGGACGAGAAGTCGGAGGGCGTGGGGGAGGCGGGCACGTCGTTCGCTTCTCTCGCGCCGAGCAGTGGCGCGCTTGCCGCGCTCATTCCGCAACCTCTGTGCCGCCGCGCGCGCGCGCCCAGGATGGCGAGCGTCCGATGTTCCGCGTCGTCGTGAAGGAGTGGCGGAACGTGGGCGACGATCCCACCGATTTGCATGTGGAGTGCCCCCCGCGCTCCATGTACAAACTGGGTCTGGCGCCAGCTGGGGGGCTGAGGTGGCCCACGACTGCTTCTGGCAAGCAGAGAACGGGGGGGGATGAGGGCTTCCCTCGTCGCCCGTGCTGGACCTGGCCGACAAGCTGGTCAGGTTCGACCCTGCGAAGGGGGGGCAGGACTGATTTTTGACTGGATTCGCCTTCGTCCCCCCCCCCTGGCCGATTTTCTCGGGGCCCCTCCTGCGCAGACCCCTGGCCGCTTCCGGCGTGGAGTTGTTTCCAGCCTGCTTGGTCCAGAACCCGGACAGCGAGAAAGGCTTGGAGGTTCCGCGCGCGTGCGTGCGCGGCCGTGCACGCACGCGAAAGCACGCGTCCATGCGCACGTCCCGAAGCGATGGTGTGCCCTCCGCTCTCCATGCATGCACACGTTGGGGTGCTTCAGCATTGCGGGCCACGAGCGGCGGGGAGCGCTCAGCTTGGTGTCGGAGAGGTGCCGTCCTCCGTCCGCGCAGCCGCTAGGTTTTTTCGGTGCCGTGTGTATGGGAGATTGCGTGGCGATGATCTTGCTAAGCGGAGTGAAGCACACACCGACTTCTGGGACACGGCTGCTCGGGGGTCATCAGCCATCCAGGCCGCCTTGCTTCGCGAGTTGTGTCATGAAAAGTAGCAAGTTCAGTCGGGTTCGAGTCGGCTGCTCTGCGTTGGGATACGGAGAACTTCGTTGATCTGGTTCATCCGTCGCTGTTGGTGCAGCTTGCGCTCAAGGGTGGTTATGCCTGTATGACTGTATGTTCGTGCATATTCTCGTGCATGCATGTCATCGTCTGTTCGAAGTTGGTGGCACCATCTCGGAGGTGATCACCACGGCCGTTCGATTATCGCTAGGCGTACACGGTCGATGCCATGGGTGAAAGCGTTTTTGCATGATGTGCTCGATCGTGCTCATCGGTGATTGCCTGCTGTGCATGGTCGATCGTTTTATTGCCCAGTACGACCAAGATGCGCGTCAAAAAGACTGTTACGTAGCACCTTTCAGATGCGGGTAAGATTGAGGGGCGGTGGGGTCGTCGGCAGTTTGCGAGACTCTGGAGAAGCCCGCCGCAGGCACCAAAGTTTCACACATTGTCAGAGTGAGGGGGCCGAACGGTCATTCATTGTCCCTAGGTGCGTGGCTGAAGTTGGGATCCGTGGTGAGGATTCTGCTTGTTGCGATGTTGCTGTTGTTGTTGTTCTGGTTGAATTTTCACTTCTGAAGAATATTGTTGATCCCCCCGTCCGGTGCACAGTGTATTTTTCGATTGAAGTGCCCCTCCCAGGGCTCGCACCCTGTTCTTATTAGAGGAAGTCTTGAGGCTCAAACTGTGTCGTTGGCCCCCGGTTTACAACAACAACGGCTCTCGCCTGATTCTTCTTGACAGTGTTATGAAGAATCGCGCTCTCGCTGGGGACCTCCTAGCAATTTACCACCGTATCGCGGCTCCCGCTTGATACTTCTTGACAATGTATTGCAGAATCGCGTTCTCGCTTGGAACTTCCTCGCAACTTACCACCGAACCGCTTCGCTTGATATTTCCTTTGAATATATTAAGATGCCGGTCCTCGACACTCAGGAATCGCGCTCCCGCTACGTATTGCCTGGCGGTTCAACCAGGACTCACGCTTCAACGACCCGCCCGCTCGACCCGCCCGTCGGGGCCTGCCCGCCCGACCAGCCTGTTAATGACTGCAGTCGCCGCTCGTTGCCCTTCGCCCGCCTTCGATACCACTCGCTGCCCTTACTGGTTCCGTAGTCGCCTTCGCTTGCTGCCGTTCTTGGCCCCGTTGCTGCCCTCAGTGGCGTCGTCGCTGCCCTTTATGGCCCCGCATTTTATGCCCTTCGTGGCTCACGCTCGCACGCGCCCGTCGTGGTCCCATATGCATGCCCTTCGTAGCCTCGCTGTCGCCCTTCGTGGCCCCTTCTTGGCCCAGGTGCTGCCCTCAGTGGCCTCCCGCTCGCTCGCGCCCTTCGTGGCCCCCGCTCGCTCGCGCCCGTCGTGGCCCCATATGCATGCCCTTTGTGGCCCCGCTGTCGCCCTTTGTGGCCCCCTCGCTGCCCTTCTTGGCCCCGGTGCTGCCCTCAGCGGCCCCGTCGCTGCCCTCTGTGGCCTCCGATTTTATGCCCTTCGTAGGCCACGCTGGCTTTTCTCACGATTTACTTTGGAATCGCGCTATCGCTCGAGACTTCCTCGCGATTCATGCAGGACCCACGCTTCAGCAGCTCGCCTGCTCGACCTCGTCGCCTGGGCCCGCCTTCCCGACCTGCCCGCCATGGGTCTGCCCACCCGATCTGCCCGTCTGGTTCTACCACTTGTTTTCTGCTTATTGTTGTTGTTGTTGATGTTGTTGTTGTTGTTGTTGTTGTTGTTGTTGTTGTTGTTGTTGTTGTTGTTGTTGTTGTTGTTGTTATTGTTGTTGTGGTTGAACTCTCATTTCTGAAGAATACTTCTTGTTGATCCCCCCCGTCCGATGCACATTGTTTTTTCGTTGAAGTGCCCTTCCCCGGGCTCGCATCCTGTTTTTATAAGGAAAAGTCTTGAGGGTCAAATTGTGTCGTTGGCCCCCTGTTTACAACAACAACGGCTCCCGCCTGGGACTTCCTGACAATTTAGCCAGGACCCCCGCTCTCGCTCGGGACCTCCTTAGAATTTATTTTCCGGGCGCTCTGTAGTCGCGCTCTCGCTGGAGACTTGCTTGCAATTTACTGAAGAATAGCGCCCTTGCGTTGGATTTTGTTGCAATTTATTCAAGCGCCGCGATCCCGACACCCAGGCACCCAGGAGTCGCGCTCACGCTTAGGACTCGCTCACAGATTACATAGGAATCGGGATCTCGCTGCCCTTCGTGGCCCCGTTGCAGCCATTCGTGGCCCCCTCGCTTTGTTTCGTTGCCCCGTTGCAGCCCTTCGTGGCCCCCTCGCTGCCCTTCGTGGCCCCGTTGCAGCCCCTCGTGGCCCCCTCGCTGCCCTTCGTGGCCCCGTCGCAGTCCTTCTTGGCCCCCTCGCTGCCCTCCGTGGCCCCGTTGCATCCCTTCGTGGCCCCCTCGCTGCCCTCCGTGGCCCCATGTATGTATACTCTTCGTGGCCCCCGCTCGTTCGCGCTCGTGGTGGCCCCATATGCATCTGTCCTACGTGGCCCAGTTGCTACCCTCAGTGGCCCCATCGTTGCCTTCTGTGGCCCCGCATTATCTGCCCTTCGTGGCCCCCGCTCGTTCGCGCTCTTCGTGGCCCCATACGCATTCCCTTCGTGTCCCCGCTGTTGCCCTTCGTGGCCTACTTCGTGTCCTTGTGGCCCTGCTGTCGTTCTCTTTCGCTCTCGCTGTCGCTCGTCGTCGTCGTCGCCGTCGCCGTCGTCGTCGCCGTCGTCGTCGACGTCGTCGTCGTCGTCGTCGTGGTCGGTCCCCTGTCCGTCCCTCTTGGGGTCGGGTCGCCGGTCCGCGGCCGCCCCGCCGATCAGCGGTGCCGCTGGCCAGGCCGACGGTCCGCGGCCGCCCCGCCGCTTGCCGGGGCCCGGTCTGCAGGAAAGAAAGGTATACCCCCCAAAAGGGGTTCGATCGAAGACGAAGAGGGCGGGTATCGAGGGTTTGGGGAATAGGCGTTTTTGGACACTCGAGCAGATACGGGCGAACAGTCTTAAAATGATTGTTGTTGTTGGTGTAAGTGTTAGTGTTAGTGTTCGTGTTCGTGTTAGTGTTGTTGTTGTCGTTGTTTGTGGTCGTCGTCCCACCCGCGACCCACCCCGCGACCCACCCCACGACCCACCCCGCGACCCGCCCTGCGACCCACCCCGCGACCCACCCCGCGACCCACCCCGCGACCCGCCCGCGACCCACCCCGCGAGCCACCCGCGACTCACCTCGCGACCCACCCCCGCCCCGACCCACCCGCGACCCATGTGCGACCCACCCGCGACCTACCCGCAGTGGTTAAACGAAAAGATCGGTGCCTGCGGCGGGCTGTGATTGGGATTGTGATTGTGCTTTTGTCGAGAGTCAGGCTCTTGGCTGTGGGCCATGACCATACATGGCCAGATTGAGGGCCAAGCTGCCTGCAACAGCGAAGCTTCGCCCTGCCAGCATGTGCCCTCGTGTTGGCGACCTGCTGCTGCCAACCATTTGTGAAAAGCGGCTTAAGTTTGGGCTCGATTTGCGTCCACCGTTCAATCATGTCTTCTGTTTGGGTTCAACGGGCCAGCTCCGCCGTTCAGCGCAGCGACGCCTGAGAGGAGACCGGCGTGCCTGCTCGCAGTGCAGATCTCGATCGGCCGTCTGGCACAGACGTCCATGCAGAGTCCACCGCGCACGCTCCGGATCCAGTGGGGTCTGTGGCTTACAGGAAACTGGTACTGAATGGGGACGGTTCTTGGACCCCAGGAGCCTTTCCCCACCGAGCGCGATCACCTACTCGCAAAGTGCCTACTCGCAAGCCTTCGAACAAAAAACACATGTCTGCATCGATGCCAATCCTAAAACCCCCCCTGGCGGATCCGGGCCATTTGCTAGTAGTCACTTTGCGAGTCGTGGAACGCGCTTGTTTATTTCCCCACGACCAGCTCTTCATCCTGACTTGTTTTTTGGGCGATCCCGAAGCTCGGGGAGGACCTATGTCCCTCGCGGCGAAGTCTGCCCCTGGAATGTACCGCCAGGGAGCGTCTACACTCGTGGGCGGCCAAGAGGGAGTGATGACTAGGGTGGGTGGGTATCATGGCGGGGGCCATGATAGCTCCCGAGATTTCGTGGGGGCGCTTGACCGCCCCCGATTCACCCGAGTCCTGCCCCAGGACCCCGTGGGCCATGACTTTCCGGGAGGGCTGGAAAATAGCACTTGGACTTTGGTACCTAGATTTCGTTCGAGGTCTTGAGCAGACCAGGTAGGTCTATGGGCCTGGAGTGCTCTGGAAGATTCGCGGAGCCGTGGGTGTGGCTTTCGGAAGGTCTTTGCGCTCTGGAAGGTCAGGGGAGCGGTGGGTGTGGCTTCCCGCCCGCGAGGTAGGGCAGACGTGCATGTCCCGCCCCGCTCCTCGGGGTGGTACATCTCCGCAGCGCCAGTGCCGACCGCTTGATATCACATAGGGGATGTCGGAGGCCTAGAGGTCCTAGACCCCCCAGAAAGGGTTGGAGTAGATGGGGTCGGTGGATCGCGCCACATCGCCGATGCATCGGCGATGAGTCTCGATGTGGGGCCTGATTTGTTCCACGCCGACGCCGCCGCTGCATCGCCAGCGTCACCGACGCATCTTGGATGAAGGCGCGTGGATTAGCGAAGGGTATCGCTTCCATAGAGAAGCGGCTAACTCCGCCACCAGTGCGGGCGGTATTAGCGCAGTTTTTCGGGGTACCTTCCCCGATCCATGGATCTGGCGACCGCGCACCATATCCACGTATCCCTAATCCATGTGAGCGTGCGTTCAACCCGTGGGATGTCGGACGGAGGCCCACATGTTGACACCAATGCCAATATCGGTGGTGTACCTCCGCCGAGGGACGGTGATCCCAATTTCGGCGATGATGGTGATATTCGGGCTTCCTAGCTGGCCGACTGACTACCACCAACACCAACGTCTAAGGTACGACTCCGAAGCGCCAGGGCCGACCGTCTGATATCACATGCGGTCCAGATGCTGAATCAGAGCGTGAATTACCTACCCCGCGTTCGGTTCCAGGCAAAACCAAGTCATACCACGCGCCTCCTCGCCAAGCGGCCTGACCAGTGCGGGCCGTAGTGTGGCATCGCTTGGCAGCTCTTGGAAGCGAGGGTGGTCAAAAGCGAGGCAAGTTCGTGTGCCCCCTGCTGCAGCCAGGACCGCTCCAGCCTCCGGAGGGGCTCGGCTCTCCGGGCCGCTCCTCAGGCGAATGCCGTCGAGCTCGTCTGCGGCCGAGGCCCGCCGTGGCCAGCAGGCGCCGGAGGCGCCGCCACGGGGGTCCAGCGCGGATCCGAGAACCCCGCGCGGACCTCCGAGTTTTTTCTGTTTGCGTCATTCTTCGTGCCCCTGATCCTGGATGACCTGGGAGGGGGTGGTGCAATAGATGTGGTGCAACAGATTCTGCGGCTCCAAGCGATTTTTGGGCGTGCGATACATGCCGGTGCGCGAATGTATTGCTGGGCTTTCGCGTACAATGCACTAGTTGCAATGCAATACGCCACAATTTTCTGCCGCACTGCATTTACGATACAATTGCCCCAAATCCTTGTCACCACCTCATTTCATCTGGACCCCACTCTGGGTCAACCGAACTCCTTTTCTTCGTCCTGCGCTTGCACAGTGGCGTCCCAGCAGTTGGGAAGCTGGCAGTTCTCATCATCGGGTGCCGCCTCCTGAAAACAAAGACCCTCGCCCTCTGTGGAGCCGGCCCACTGCTGGCCTTTGTCATATGCGATCTTGGCTGAGGACTCGAACTTGGCGAGCAATTCTTCTGAACGCAGGGTTCCCTTCGCGATGTCCTGCGTTCCTGTCTCCACGACCCTGTCCTGCAGCTTGAAGCTGAGGCCCCTCGGCTTACCTCTCCCGCCGAGGTATTGCGTGGACGTTGTCCACCGGGGCGGCTTCAAGTGGCGCACCTGGCGCCGCTTCTCAGATTTCGACCAGCTGCACGCCGCGCTTGCTGCAGATTCGGGCCGCGCGCCGCCCGCTCCCGCTCCTCGGTACTTTGTGGCCGGCGGGAAGCAACGGCAGCAGCAAGGGAGGGCCACGAGGGCAGGTGAGCGACGCAAGAGCACGGCGTCGTGTGCGCCGCCATTGGCGCGCAGGGTCGCGCGCAAGCGCCCTCGTCTCCAAAGCGGCGTGCCGCGCTGGCGGCCTGCGCACGCCAGCGCGGCAGCTCGCTGTGTCATCTCGCGGAAGGCCCGGTTCTTCTCGTCGCCCAGATGGGGTCCGAGTAGAAGATTGAAGGGCCGCGCCGCATCGCCGAGGCATCGGCGATACGACTCGATGTGGAGCCAGATGTTCTCCACGCCCGCGTCGCCAATGCATCGCCAGCGTTGCCGATGCATCGGCGATGCGGCGCGTTCCTCTGGCCCTGTCATTTCGGACGCCGTCTGGGATGCCCCTGAGGATGGCGGAGGACGTTGCCAGTTATCATCGTCGAAAGCAAGCAGGGGAGGGCGGAGGGCGCTGCAGATGGGTCATGGTGCACAGATCATGTCTTGTTTTCTCTGCCCCTTCCAACCTGGCGAGATTAGTCAGGGCACATGGGCGCACCAATGAGAAGCAGAAGTGCCGACCCCTCTGGGAGTACGAGTGGCTCTGGCAGTGTCGCCAGGCTGACGCCTGCGATTTGAGGCCCGAAATGTCCAAAGTCATCATCGGAGCGCCAAGTCATTCAAATTCATACTACGGGACGCAAGGCTATCGAAGTGTCCCGCCGTGAGCGTTCTCAAGATCTGCCTGGTTTGGGTGGGCTTCGCTTAGAATTCCGTCGCACTTTTTTCATTTCGGTCCCTGGATAGCTTGCTTCAGGTTCCGTCTGGCCTGGATAATTCTTGTATTTTGCTGAGGGCGCCGCCACAATCTGTCCAGCATGGGCTCTGGTTTGGACTTTGCTTGGCCTGTCTCGGGCAAAGCTGGAGGCGCGCCTGGCGTAGGGTGACCTCATTTCAAATCTACTTAGTTTGGGTGCTGGCTCGGTCTGCTTCAGGACTGGTTTCGGGCTGTGGGAAGGTTGCGGGTGGGAGTCGAAGGTAGATAGGTAACCCTCACACACCTGGTGGCTATATACACTCCAAGCCCGAGTGTTTTGTTACGCATTCCGAGTAGCAGCGTGCAGTCGTTCATTTTGTCGTTATTGGCACTCCAAGCCACTTGTCTTGTATCATATTCCGTAGTACAGAGCGCTGTCATTACGCACTTGCTGGCTCGACGTCACTCCTAAAACATTGCAGTTGGCACACGGGGCACATAGCGTTCGCATGTTGCACCACATATCTCAAACGCTATTCTCGAACCTGTCCCGTGCAAAGGCCAGGCATGCTAAATGAAAGGCGCCACCAAGCGAACCCGTATCCTTTTTTGCTCAGGATTGCTACGCGTTGAACGGCTTGCCGCTCCTGTACACCATGGCTAACGAGGCATACCGGCAACTGACGCGGTACGCCATCTCTACCGTGCTATCCTCGCAGGCTGGCGTGCGGGCGTTCGCTCCCCTGGCCATACTCTCGCTTATATCACTCACTCAGCCCGACTTGGTTGAGCTCGACTCCAGCATGCAGTGGGTGCAGCATCCCGCCACATGCTCCGTTGCTTGTGTCGTGGCGGCGGCAGAGATTATTGCCGAGCACGTCCCTGTGCTTGACCACGCGCTGCACGCGGCCATGATTGCCGTGGCACCCATGATGGGCATGGTCCTCTCAGTCGCTCAAAGGCTTGGCGACGAGGACGTGACCAGGTATGTTCAGGGTCCAATGGCATTGTTTGGAGGCGTGGTGGCCCTCTCCTTCCACCTGATGAAGCTGACGCTGCGCTACCTCGGACTGGGCTGCCTTAACCCAGTGATAGCGATGGTGGAGACTCTCGTTGTCTTCCTCGCGTCAGGTGGAGCCATCCTCCTCGCCCCTTTGGCACTTGCACTTGCACTGGTGGTGCTGCTTGTGCTGCTACGATCGGCGGTGCGCGCGCTTCGGTCCACTAGAAATGGCGTCGAAGTTGCACTCCTTGGCGAGTGTAGTACGCACGCGCGTCGCACTCTCAATTACATTCGCCGCGAGCACCTCGTCATCAGCATTGCACCAGCGCCCATCGGGGTGGCGGTAGAGGTGAAGGGATTAGAGCGTCCCGTGCGCGTGGTGTGGCTCGTAGGGTTGATGTTCGCGCAGCTCTATCTGGTCACCCGCCTCGTCCGCGTTCAGATTCCAGGGGCAATGAGAGGGGGAGATGGGCTCGAGGGGGGAGGCACGTCGACTTCTAATCGTCATTCATCGCCCATCGGGGCCCGGGCACCCCCATGCCCAGGAACTTGCGCTTTCGCCGTCGGGGGCTCGTTGCCGATCGATCGGGGCTGTATCGATGGTTGCAGGTCGACGCTCTCCCCCCAGAGCCAGTGCGCCCTCCATCGTTCCCCCTCAACTCTCGCCGCTCGGGCGCGTGCTCCTGGTCGCCCTCGCGCTCATCCCTTGCCGGCTCGTCCGGTAACAAGTCATGGGAGCCCTGTGTGTCCTTGGAGTTCTGCCACTGGAGTGCCCCGGCGTGCGCAAGCGTCCTCGGTCATCGGTGGGAGAGCGCAGGTCCAGCGTCGAGGAGCGACGGCCTTCGCGTCGACTCAGCGTCGGTTGGCGTCGTGTCGCTGGAGCCAGCAAGATGACTCGAGGGGCTCTCATGAGTTGCTGCAGAAGGCTCGCGAGCGGCTGCCTGCTCCGCTTCGCCGCGCGGCGCGACGCGGTCAGGCTCTTGGCAGCCAGGGCCGGGCGCGGCGGGGCCGCCGCGCAGCGCGGCGCGGGCTTCGCCGCCGCTGCCCCGCGGAGTCGTGCCGTCGCGGCGGGTCAGCCGTGCGCCGCGGGGCTCGCAGGGCTCGGGGCGGCTGCGGCGTTCGCGCTCGCCGCGGCGGCCCTGTCGGAGGGCACGGGCGGCAGCGGCGGGGGCGCCGTCGTGGTCGACTACGTCTGCTCGCTCGCGTTCTCGGCGTGTGTGTTCGAACCCCTCGAGCTGCTGGCGCTGCGCTGCTGCTGCGGGCGCTGCTGCCCGTGCTGCTTCGACGACGCCGAGCTCGAGGGCGGAGGCGTGGCGGCGGAAGAAGCGACGGCGGGCTGAGATGCGGCGCCCCGGACTTGGCAGAGCCAGCGGCCTCCACATTGGCGCAGCAAGGTGCGGTCAGAGGTGCCTCTGCGAGGCGTCCCAAAAAGCATGGAGGCTCCAGGGCCCGCGTCACCGTCGGCCGTGCGAAGAGCGTGAGGTGTCCCACGGCCGTGCGCCAACCACATCATGATGATTTCGTCTACGAGTTGCCCCACCGTTCCCGCGAGTCCGTCGCCACGCCTATGCACACGCCTCCATACCTCCAAGTGTATCGGGTAACGACGTATATGTATGTGTCGGGGGAGTATATGTATACATGTATCAATGTATAGACACATACATACACACATGCATTTCTATATACACATAGTTATGTATATAAAAATATGCGTTCCACCGTTATACAAGACATGTTTGAATACGTGTGTCTATATAGATATGAGCATCGCGGATATGTACACATATCTATATATATATACACACATTCGCCCCTTGTGATCATACCATGTGCCTTGGCTTCGTTGCTTTCAACTTTTTGAGTATGCCGTCCTCCCCCTCATTTGCTCTTTCCTCCCCGTCGCTCCTCCTCATCCTTGAATTTTCCTTCAGCGGGGCAGTGTAGCCTCGGCGGTCTGAGGGCGGCGGGGCAGCGCAAGGCTTTTTGTTCCTTCTCTCGCGCTGGGTCCAAGTCCTCCCCTGCCTTCAGGAGGGGGATGATGATGAGGAGGAGGGAGGGATGATGGAGAAGGGATAACCATATAATATGAGTGAGGAGGAAGAGGAACTAGATAAGACGAGTGCGATCTCGACGATGTTGACGATGATTATCGTGACGGTGATGATATGAGGAGGGGGAGTCCTTCATAAGGGATCCTTGATTGGAGCTCTTAATAAAACAAGAGACCCTCAGTAAGGAATATTTAAGCAAGGGATCCTCCATGAGGAATTTTAACCCAAGACTCCTTAACAAGAATATGTACCGAGGAATACTTCCTAAACACTATGTACGAAGGAATAGTAAGTAAGGAGACTTTACATAGGAATCCTTAAGAAGGACGCTTAACGGAGAACTCCGTCAACAAGAGAATCAACTAAGAACGCTTTCAAACAGGCATCTTGAAAACGGAATCCTTAGTACGGAGCCCTATGTAAGGAATTTGTCATAAGGAGTCGCCGAGGTATCTTTTACCAGGAATCCGAATTACAGAAGTACTACCCAGGACTATTTATTCCTGGGCCCTTCTTAAGGACAGTCTGCTGCGATAGTATGGTTCAGGGATCCTTAAGAAGGAATCCTTCATAAGGGATCGGTATTACGGAATCCCGAAAAATGTATGAACTAAGGTGTCTTCAATAAGGCATACTTGCTAGAGAATGGGTCGTAAGGACGCCAGAATAAGATATCTTGATTAAGGAATCCTTGACAAGGAATCTGTACCAAGGAATCCGTGCTACGGGATATTTGGCAAAGCGACCTTGATACGGAATCTGAATTACGAAATCCCGAACAAGGAACCTTTTTACATACGGATTCCTTCCTAAGGAATCGAAATCAGGGCATCCGTAATCAGTGATACTTTAGACGGAATAGTCAATGGGGAATCGTTCATAAAAAGGAATCTTGGCTATGGCATCCTTAACCAGAACCCCTTAGTAAGGGATATTTCCTCCAAATTCCTTCATGCGGAATCCTTGAACACGCATCTTAATTCAGGACCCCTAGAGAAGGATCTCCTCATGAGGAATAACTATGAAAGAATATTGATTCAGGAACCCTTGACACTTAATGCATTTTAGGAAGGAGTCCGGTTTAAGAAATCTGTAATTGGGAGTCGTTAAGGAATCTTTAATAAAGAATATAATGAACCCTTTTACGAAGGAAGGTGTATGAAGGACTCCTTATTAAAGAATGTGCAGTAAGGAAACCCTTTCTAAGGAGTGAGTCTGCACACATGAATCCACCATACGGAATATGAACGCAGGAACCCTTAATGGCCAGGCGTCGTCACCGTCGGTTCAAGACAACGCTGTGCATTTTAGTTGTGTTAATTGTTTTGGTCTGGGATGCAAGGGAACAGTTTTTTGCAGGCTCACAGGTAAGTGCTGCGAGGGACGCCGCGATGAGCACTGGAGCTTGCAAAACCTCAAAAAAGCAATGTTTCGTGGCTTCCCAAACAAAATCAACAAAACACAGGCTTCCCACCAAGGCCGCCAACTACTGCGTTTTTTGTTTGTTTGGTTGTGTTGATTTGGGATGCAAGGAAACATTGTATTTTTTTGTGTTGCAGGCTCAGAGAGAAGAGCTGCGACGGAGGCCGTGGCGAGCACTGGAGCTTGGAAAAACCACACAACTGCACATTTATCCGTGGCTTCGTACATAGGAAACGAACATACACCGAGGGCGCCAACTAGTGTGTAATTGTTTTTTGTTTGGTTTTTGCCGGCTCAGAGAGGAGTGTTGCGAGGGAGGCAGCTGCGAGCACCGGGGCCTGCCCCCCCCCCCCGAAGGACAATTGTATTTCGGTGCTTCGCAAACCCAAAAAACAAACAAACATACACAGTGTTTCCTTGTACTGACAGCGCCAAGCGCTGTCCGGTATGGGTTTTGTATGTTTTGCAAAAGAGAGGGGGAGGATGAGGAGGAGGAGGAGGAGGAGGAGGAGGAGGAGGAGGAGGAGGAGGAGGAGTAGGAGCAGGAGGAGGAGGAGGAGGAGAAGGAGAAGGAGGAGGAGAGGGTGAAGAGAAAGAGCAGAGAAGAAAACAAGGAAGAAGCAGACACGCTGACAGACTTATGATCACAGGGGGTGACAATACATATATCTATATATACATATCTATATACATATATACATACATTTGTGTATATATATACACATACACAGATCTCTCTCTCTATATATATATAGATGTATCGAAGACGCCTACGGCGAACCAACGCCGCCACCTGCCGTTTGGAAATGCACATGTGGCCGAGCGTTCTGGCAAAAGCTCTGCCTAGCTATCGGAACATGTGTTCCCCCAGTCGTTGTGGAAGCCTTTCGGGGAGCATTTGAAGGAAGGCGGGGCGGATCACGAGGAGAAGGAGGAGGAGGAGGAGGAGGAGGAGGAATGGGCATCTTCGGAACCTCAGGGGGCACTCTTGGGGCCTTCTGATGGCATCGTGGGAGCCTCTTGGAGGCTTCGTGTGGGGTCTCCTTGGGCTTCTTGGGGGCCTCTGGGGCCCCTCTGGGGGCCTTCTCGGGGACCGTGTTTGCCTTCTTAGGGCATCCCTGGCCCGTCTGACGCCGTCGAAAGCCGTCTTGGGGCCTCTCTGGGCCGACGTGGGCCCCCTTGGGGTGCTCCAGGTGAATGGCATTTTGGGCGTCTTGGAGGCCTCTTGGGGGCTCTCTCGGGGCCGTCTTGGGGGCCTCTTGGGCCTTTCTTGGGCATCTTGGGGCCTCTTGGCCGACTTTGAGGTGATCTTTTGGGGCTCCCTGGCCATCTCCGGCCGTCGGAAGGCCGAGAAGCAACACATATTGAAATCCTTCAGAAACCAGTGGGAAACCACTGGTTTGGGCCTCGTCGGGCCTCCTCTTTGAGGCCTCTTTGGGCAGTCTTGCACACCTCTTGGTGGGCCGTCTTGGAGCCATCTTGGAGCCATCTTGGGCCGTCTTTGCGGCCTCTTGGGCGGGCTTGGAGACATATCGGGCCTTCTTGGGCCGTCTTGGAGGCCATATTGAACCATCTCGGGCGAACGTGGAGGCCATTTTGGCCGTATTGGAGGCCATCTTGGGCCATCTTGGCCGTCTTAGAGGCGGCCAGGCCAATGGGAGACGAACTTTGGGAACCTCTCTGGGTGGCGGGCGCGCTGGGCCGAAGCCCCAGGTGTTCTTTTGGAAAAAGCAGAACCTTGCCGAGTATAGGATTTAGCACGGCGGGCACCCCTGTGGCAAGCCAACAGGGGGCCGCGAATATACATACATGTCTAGTGGCCTTCGGCCCACCCGCCACCGTGCCTGGGTTGTAGATCAGAGGCTTCTGGGATGCCTGCGGGGATCTCTTGGGAGGCCTCTCGGAAGCCTCTCGGATTCGGTTTTGGGGAATTTGGTGGCCTCTCGGGGGTTCTCTTGCGGGCCTCTTGGGTCGTCTTCGGGGCATCTTGGGCCGTGTGGGGTCGCTCTTAACGGGCCGCTAGGGCCCTCTTGGCTTGATCTTGGGGACATCTTGGGTCGTCTTGGAGCGTCGAATTCCCGAGCCAATGGAAAATCAATAATTTGTGCATCTTGGCGCCATCTTGGGGGTCCTCCTCCTCCTCCTCGTCCTCCTCCTCCTCCTCCTCCTCCTCCTCCTCCTCCTCCTCCTCCTCCTCCTCCTCCTACCCCTCCTCCTCCTCCTCCTACCCCTCCTCCTCATCCTCATGTTCTTCATCCTGGTCCTGCTCCTCCTTTCCTCCATTCTGGTCCTGCTCCTCCTTCCCTTCCCTTCCTACTCTGGTCCTCCTCCTCCCCTCCTCCCCGGACTCCCCAGGGGGCTGCCAGGGGCGGGGCCCTGGCGGACGGGTCGAGGCATAGAGGGTGAGGAGGCGCACGAGGACCTGCCCACCTCCTCCGCCGCGCTCCCCCGGTTGTGAGGATGCCTCGAGCGGCGACGGCGCGGCTGCGAGGATGTCTCGAGCGGGGCGCCGCGGCTGCGAGGATGTCCCGAGTGGGGGCGCCGCGGTTGTGGGGATGTCTCGAGCGGCGGCGCCGCGGCTGCGAGGACGTCTCGAGTCGCGGCGCTGCGGCTGTGAGGATGCCTCGAACGGCGGCCGCCCTTGTGTGAGGATGCCTCGGGCGGCGGCACCGCGGTTGCGAGGATGCCTCGAGCGGCGGTGCCGCGGTCGTGGGGATGTCTCGAGCGGCGGCGCGTCCCGGGGAGGGGGGGTACGTAAGGGAGGGGGGCGCGCATAACACAGCGCGGGGAGGACATGGCACAAGTCAGGCGGGGTGAGTTTGGGCAAGGTCTCGGGACCCGGGCAAGTTCCCGGGATTTGGGCGCGGAATGTTCGGGAAATCGCTGGCACATCCACAAAATGATGTGTCAAAATTGTTTTTGTTCTCGGAGGTTGTTTGGGAATTCTGTTTTTACACGTGTTTCTTCTAATCTGAATTGTGCCATCAAAATTGTTTTTTCGTTGCGACAGTTCGTTGGCGCTGAGTATACTTCGTCGGTCGGCCGTCGGGTGCGATGTCTGCGAGTAGTTTCTCTCGGCGTTGACACGGCGGCGACTCCAGCGCAGGCGTTCAAAGCTGGACGCTTGCCAGTGGGTGGAGATCGGCCGATATCGAAGGAATTGCGTTGTCAAGGAGTCACGATTGTTCAACGTTGAACGATCCGCACGGTGTCAGAATCCAACGCCGACGTCGTCGCGCCGTGAACCCGTTGTACGCCCACGGTATTGTTCGTATGGCGACCGTCTACGTGTGCTCTTCGGTGCCTATTCAAAGTGCCACGGTTTTCTTCTCAAGCTGTGCTTGCAAGAGCATCTGCGCACAGGCGCTGCGCAGAAACACAAACCCTCAGATCCGGGCGTCGTTCAACAAAAAGCAGGGCCGCCGACTTCGCTTGTTCTGGGCCCCGAGACCCTCACGGGTCTTGATAGAGTAATTTTAGTCGACAGATTTGGTGTCGTGATTTCTATACAATGGTTGTTTTGGTTGAGACGCCAGATCTCCAGGACGCTTCGTCCCTCCTCCTGCAATCAATTTCCAGATCCGTCAGCAGGTATTCCTTTTCGGCCCAGTCTGCCAAGGGCTGGCGTTTACCCGCCCGCCCGCCGCGCGTCCAGTCTGCGAGGGTGGCGCGGCAGCCGCACGACTGCCCAGCGAGGACAAACCACAACCACCCTTACCCCCATAATTTGCGTTTGCTGAGCAGTCGTGGTGCCCTGCTCGAGTCCTTGCTGAGGCGCATTTGGTAAAGGGGTTCGCCTGTCGGGGTCTATCATGAGGGTGGTTCTTCTGCCCTCTAGGCTGCGCCAGTGGAAAACAAGGATGGCGGTCGGGGAGGAGTGAAGCAGGGGACCACTTTCCCCTCCTGACCTCATCTGCCCTGATACGCCGGTTTTGAAACGCAACACAAGCCGTGTTCAAAACGTCCGCTCTAACACCTTGCGTGTTAGCTCAACGTTTTGGCCCACGTTTTGGTGAAAGTATCGCAACAGGCCTACGCTTTCAGTCTACGCGTTGAGCTCCGTGTCAACACGCTACGTGTTGCGTGTTGCGTATCGGGGCAGCTAAGTTCCCCTCCTTACCCTCCTCTCCTCCGCTCCCCTGTCAATCATTTCCCCTCCCCACCTTCCCCACCCCGCCCCCCTTGCATCTCGGAAGAGTGCAGACAGGGCCCATCTTCGATCGGTTGCGCCACTCCTGTTGTGTGAACCCCTTCTGACCTCTGTTCTGTGGCCAGTGTTCCTCCCACTCCCCTTGCCCCCGTTCCCAGGCGACATCAGTTTCCGACTGCCGGCTCCGCCGCAGAAGTCGCGCGGGAAGGAGGAACGGGAAGGGTCAATACACAGGACGAGAGGTCAGAGGGTCGCGCAGTGTATTTTCACGGAGGTCACGATGCTTGTATCGCGTGGCATTCGACCACTTCCGAATGCGCACATGACGTAGCTCTAGATTGTTCATGAGATGTGTTTGCCGCATGCACCAGTGTAAGCATACACATGAAACATTGATACTGTACATGCGTGTGCATGCACGCCAGATGACTGCGTGCACACGTACACGCATACATACGCATACATATGCACGTATACATGTACATACGCATACACCTACGCATACACACATACATTCTCTCAGGGGCACAATCCATACATGTATATACGCATACACATATACACATATATATATATATACATATACATATTTGTATATATATATACACAACACGAGTATACCCCGTTCGTGTGGCAACGCGTGTAAGGCTCTCAGCCTTGGGGCGGTCCGAGACGGTCGTGGGCACGCACGCGCGCGCGTGCGCCCGCGCACACACTTAAGCACGCAAGCCCGTCCACTACCATTGCGAAACACCACGCCCACAGGGGGCGAGGGGGGGGCACGGGGTGCACAGACGTTGGATCTTCTATACACGTGATTGCACGCTTGGTTGCATGCGTCCGTATGCGTTCCACCTTACTCATATAGATGTGTCGCATGATGTGTGGTGTTGTGACGCTTTGGATTGTGGTATGCTGTGTTCCAGTGCGGGCAGGCGCGCGTGTGTGCGCGTTCGTGCGTCTATCTTCCCCTCATTCCATCGGCGGGGTGTCCGAGAAATCATGGGGCCAGTCCCACCTAGGGGGGAGGGGAAGGGGCCCCGCACACCCTGCATCCAGGACCATATATACGTATAGAAACTGAAACTTATGCCGAAATGCTACGCTTGGGCTGCGTCGAAGGAACCACTCGGCTGTAAGGCACTCCGTTTTAAACCGTGCCAGCGTCCTTCAGGCACCCATTCGCATTACACCCACAGTGAACGATAAAACCAAACATGCGCCAAATTGCTTTGCAGAACGCACAAGACGAGAGCCACTAGTGCATGGACTCGTGAGGCCACCTCCAAACGCGCCCCGAAGCATCATGGGGACACCAAGGAGCTGCATCGTAAGATTCAGATCCTACAGTCAACCCCAGACGTGTGCCATCCGATCTTTCCTTCGGTGGCGCGTCCAGTAGCTCGGCCACAATACTCCCCACCGCCATGTTCGTATAGCCTTCAGTGTGGGTGTGTATAGACCTCGGTGCCCTTCATTCCACTTTCCCCTGAACCCCCTCACCACTGCCTGTTCTTGATGTCCCTTCTACTTGAGTAGCCTCATTGTGCCTTTTGTTGTCTCTCTCTCTCTCTCTCTCTCTTCGTGTCTCTCTCTCTCTCTCTCTATCTATATATACATGCATATACAATTGTACACGACATGTGTATATACGCATAAATATATATATATATATATGTGTATATATACACATACATACATATATGTAATTATATATATGTATATAAGTATATATGTGTGTGTACCACATCCAACATGTTTTTAGCCCGGGCGGGGGGACCCCCCCCAAAAAAAAACGGACTCCCGGGATCAGGGGCTTTGGGCCCCTCCGAATGGGCCTCGAAGCGGCCCCCCGGGCCTCGCAGGGCGTTTTGCCAAGCTTTCCCAGCACACCTAGGGCGACCAGGGGGGTCATCGGAGACGTCCCAGAGGACCCCAAAGACAGCACAAGAGCGCTCCAAGAGTGACCGACGTGATCTCAAGATGGCCCAAGAGGCCTCCATGACGGCCCCAAAGAGGCCTCCAAGAGCACTCCCAAGAAGGCCCCCAGAGGCAACAATCATTGATTTTCTGTTTTTTTGTGAATTTTGGGGTTCTCCTCTTTTCGGCTTCCCGACGCTCCAGGACGGCGGTCTTCTGGGCGTCCGAAGCCGCCTGGGAGGCTCCCAAATCGCCCCACAACCACCCGAAATGGCTTCCAGGCAGTCCAAGAGAGCCCCAAAACGGCGCAACACGGGTCCAAGATGGCCCTCAGAGAGCCCCATGGCGGCCCAAGATGGCCCCAAGACACCCTCCGAAGCATTTGAAATCGTGACCCGGTCGTTCAGGGAGACCGCGGTTGGAGGCAGGATGGCCCGAGGAAGCCCCCAGAGGCCCCCAGAATACGCCCAGGAGGCCTCCAGAAGGCTTTGAAAAAGCTTGAAACAACTTTTGTGAGGCCCCCAGAGGCTCTCCAAGGAGGAGCCTCCGCAAAAAAGAGCTGATGAGGATGGCGAAAATGAGGAATAAGAAGCATGGAGGAAGGATAACGAAGACCATTATTATAGCGGCGATGCCGGAAAAGGCAACAAGGAGTTATCGCTAAATTGTCGGCTTGACCTTCCTGTTATTTCGCTAGCGTACCAAACTTCAAGTACCAAGGTGCATGCGCGAAGCACCAACATGCAGTCTTGTGTATACATACATCATATACATATATATATATATATATATATATATATATATATAGCTATGTATACACACATATTTCGCGGGGGGACGGGCCACACAGCGTAGGGCGAGGGCAGATTGAAGGGTCTGGGGGGCGGGGCGGGGCGGACGAGGTGCCTGGTGGAGCAGCGCGGCCGCTCAAGGGGGCCGCCTGGGCGGAGGGGTGTTGGTGGGACGGGGACGGGGAAGCAGAGGATGCGGAAAGTGAAGAGGAAGGAGAAGCCACAGAGGATTGACGACAGGAGGCCAACGAAGAGTCGGAGGAGGCCGGCAGAGGCTGTTGGGATGGGGTGCAGAACTTCTGGGGAGGTCGTACCTCCCGCCTCAGCTGCAGGGCATCTCCAGCGCGGCCCCTATCGGCCCAGCGGGCGGAGGCGGAGGAGCAAGGCGAGGCTCTGTCGGGGATTCCCGGAGTTGTTGTTTGGCATCCGGGCGTTATCCTTCAGCTGTGCCTCGTCGAGAGGTGATAATGGTACATGCTAAGCTCCCCAATATTTTCAAGGCTTCCAGATGTTCCTCGGGGACTCTAGAAACGAGGATCGCCAGATACTCTGGAGTTCTCGGGGCGCAACCTGAGCCAACCGCATCCTGACATCATGATCTTTTGAGTTTCTGGGGCCTACACATACGCACCACCACCTCCACGGGTCTGTCTTCTGCAATCGAGGTTAGGTTGATTGGGCTGCTTGTGTAGCATTTGGTCGGAGAACGCTGTGCATCTCGCACTGTCAGCGCGCCAATGTCACAGTAACTTGCAGGCGCGCTTGTGCATGCGCAAGAAGCAACACGGTCAAATGGTATATACTTCGGGCTGGTTGATACAATTCTCGGTGGTCGGGTGTGTTCTCACACCGCCCGAGGTGGTCCTAGACAGGTCGGCCGTACGCATTCTCAACCGAATGTGGCCCGAGATGCCTGCTCGGCGCAGGTTGAGCGACATGCCTGCTTGGCGCAGGCTCGCAACATCGGCCTCTGTCGGAGCGTTGATGCGCATGCACTGCTCCTGGGCCCCGCGGCTTCTGGGGAGCCACGAGCCCTCTGGAGAGCGGTCGCCGGAGGCCCCCGAAGCTGTGGCCCGCGAGAGCCAGTTCAGAGGGGAGGAGTGTGAGGCGGAGGAGGATCACCGTTACCATTCTGGCTCGAGCCGCTTTGGGTCAAGCCGCCGTTCTCGCTCGAGAAGTGCTTCGGCGGCCCTCGTCCACAGGTTCCCCCTCCCACCCGCGCTCGCCGCGATGTGCAGGCTGGGCGCCGCGGCGACCCCCGGCGCGAGGCGCCCCGCCCGCGTAGGCGAGCGGCCCGCCGGCCCTGACGGACCAAGGCAGGGCGGCGCCCAGTCCCGGCAGTGGGCGAAGAGGGCCGCATTCCCCAAGATCAATCAGACCATCATCGCAGCCGCAGAGCATGATCTGCCCACCACGGTCGCGGTCGTCGAGCCCCTGATCCCGCAGATGAACTTGGTCAACATTTCCACGGCGCTGCACAGGCTGGCCCGGCTGTCCAGCAGCAGCCCGGAGTCATTGCACCAGCTCCGCGGGCACCCCGTGATGCCTGCGCTGCTGGCCGCGGCGGCCACGGCTCTGGACAGGGCGCGGGAGACCGGGGCACAGCCGAAGACCCAGGCCTTGAGCAATGTCACCTGGGCCATGGCGACAATGCAGACCCTTGACCTCCACCTGCTGACCAAGGTGGTCGCACTGTCCGAGGAGGTGATGCCCCTCTTCAAGGCCTTCGAGCTTTCTGGCCTGCTGTGGGGACTCGCGACGCTGGGACGCAGCGAGCCTGAGGTGCTGAGATTGGCGTCGCCGATCTTCGACCGCGCTGCGGGCCAGGTGTCGGGGGACTTCAGCTTCAGGTGCCTGGTGATGACGTCCTGGGCCTACGCCACGGCGGGCTGGGCAGACGCAGGCCTCTTCCAGCGCCTCGGTGACCTGATGCTGCCAGGCCTGCGGTCGGCCAGCGGGGCTGAGCTACAGAGCATCTCGTGGGCCTTCGAGGCCATTGGCGCGTACCACGGCGCGGTGCTGACCGAGGTGCGGTGGAGGCTCGGCGGTGGCGGCGAGGGCAGCGGCGCCACCGCGCCGCATACCGCCCTGCGGCGGGCCGCCTGGGCTCGCGGGGGCCCCGCCGATCAAGGAATTGCGCCCGCGAGGTCCCCAGCCCTCCGCCGCCTTGAGGTGGTGGAGGACCCCTTCGCGTGCCCCGAGGACGCCGCCGCGACAGCGCAGCTCCGCTCGTGCGCCGAGGCCGCCGCGGCCGTGGCGGCGCCGGAGCCCGCGGCGGGCGGCCGTGTCCAGCAGGCTGCTGGGCAGGGCTGGGTGTGCACAGTCAAGAACACCTTCGTCGAAGTCAGCGACGGCAGTGCCTCCGGCGACGAGTCGGAGGATGAGGCGCCGCTGGGGCCGTCGCTGGCCATCATCCCGCAGGGCATCATCGACCCCGACGAGCTCACGGCCTACCGCATGTCTTATCAAAAGTTCCGCTCGGGGAAATGCCGCGGCGCCAAGGGGGAGGTGTCACGCCTGGGGGCGGGGGCCTGAGAATGCGGCCGCCGCTGGCCCCGCTCGCTCGGGGCCTGGCGTCGGAATGGAGCAGGAGGCTCCCGCGCAGTGGTCGAGGAGACCAGGGACGTAGACTCCTTACGCATCTCGGCCTGGCTGAGCGGCATGGGCCACCGCCTGCTTCAAGGCGATGCGCGATGCAGATGCCCTTGCTTGTGGACTTCACAATCTTATACATCACACTCGAGAGAACCGCCAATCAGTGGATTCTGCCTGCCATTTGCGCATGCACTCCACTCGCCTAGTCTTCCAATCTCCTCTAGGACCCCCTCAGTGCAAGCACTGATTGGGGAAATTGCTTTTGCTGGTGGGTGTCACAATCTTATACAGGAGAAGCAGGCGCAGCTATGCGAGTTTCGCAGGAGGGCGATCCCCTCCCAGCGTGCCCGGATATTTGTGCATAGCTTTTCGGATGCAGCTGCTGGCGTTCACGTGGCATGACGCTGCAACTCGTGGCGCTGATTCGGCGCAGGTTTACGCCTGCGAGCTCGGCGCTCTGGCCTCTGGCTGGTAGCGCGTCCGTTCCTACAAACCCAGCATCACATTCAACTTAGACACATCATGGTGCTGAGCATTCGGCAGTGAACGCGCTTGCCTCTTAAACAGCGCAGCCGGATGAATGCGAAGGAGGAGATGACGTGGGGAGAGGGGGAGCATGCGGGAAGCACAAGGGGAAGCATGTACGTTGACTTTGGCACGCTGGAGTTCCAGAGCATGCAAAGGAGCACACAGCCCGATGCCGTGCCCCCAGCAAGTTTTGAGGTCCAAGGCCCCCGCCGTGCAAGGCCTCGGCTTCCCAGATCTGCAGTGGAGTGTCTCTGCTGCCCGTCAACCCGCTCAGAGTCTAAAGACTCCGATGCGCCAATTCGTCTCCTCGCCCTTCACTCGGCGTGTAGCCAGGGGTTCAGTTTACTTCTTTCCACCAAACACAGTCTGAAAGCACGGCCCCCCATTGGGGGATATTCGTAGGCTTTTGATTATGCAGCTAGGCCGGATTTCCGTGGCTTCTTGCCAGAGCAAGTGCGTGGTACCTTGCGTGGTGATAGCGGCGCCAAGCCTTGTACAGGACCCTTTCCGAGCAACCACGATTTGGGGAACTTCTCTTTCTTCCCACCCTCGATTTTATACTCTATATGTGTGAATATGTGTATGTATATTGATACATACATTCGCCTACTCTTCGCATCCTCGCTAGGACCATTTCAGTAATTGGGGAAGACGCTTTTGCTGGCGGGTGTCACAATATTATCCAGGAGAAGCAGGCGCAGCTATGCGAGTTCCGCAGGAAGGCGATACCCTCCCACGTGCCCGGATCTTTGTGCATAGCTTCTCGGATGCAGCTGCTGGCGTTCACGTGGTATGACACTGCAACTATTGGCACTGATTCGGCGCAGGTTTACGCCCGCCTGCGAGCTCGGCGCTCTGGCTGGTAGCGCGTCCGTTCCTACAAACCCAGCATCACATTCAACTTAGACACATCATGGTGCTGAGCATTCGGCAGTGAACGCGCTTGCCTCTTAAACAGCGCAGCCGGATGAATGCGAAGGAGGAGATGACGTGGGGAGAGGGGGAGCATGCGGGAAGCACAAGGGGAAGCATGTACGTTGACTTTGGCACGCTGGAGTTCCAGAGCATGCAAAGGAGCACACAGCCCGATGCCGTGCCCCCAGCAAGTTTTGAGGTCCAAGGCCCCCGCCGTGCAAGGCCTCGGCTTCCCAGATCTGCAGTGGAGGGTCTCTGCTGCCCGTCAACCCGCTCAGAGTCTAAAGACTCCGATGCGCCAATTCGTCTCTTCGCCCTTCACTCGGCGTGTAGCCGCCAGGGGGTCAGTTTACCTCTGTCCACAAGAAACAATCCGAAAGCATGGTTCAGCACTATCGGAGGTTGGGGGGTGAGATCGCAGTGGAACGGAGACCCCCAACCGGGAAATCGTTTCGTTTCGTTTGTGTCGTGCGTGAGGGCGAGGCGAAGCTGCGTGAGCGCGCGAGAGGACTGAACCCGCCGCTGCTAGGGCGAAATCAAGACAAATGATTCTCCCCCGCCCGCCCGTCCGGCGGTGGCTCGCGGTGTCCCGCGGTGTTCCGTGGTGTCCCGTGGTCTCCGCCGCTGCTAGGGCGAAGTCAAGACAAATGATTCTCCCCCGCCCGCCCGTCCGTCCGTCCGTCCGTCCGTCTGGCGGTGTCCCGCGGTGTCCCGCGGTGTCCCGCGGTGTCCCGTGGTGTCCCGTGGTGTCCCGTTGAGTGAGATCGATCGTGAGATTGATAGTGAGATCGATACTGAGATCGATAATGAGATCGATAGTGAGATCGATGTGGTGCCCCGAGGTGTCCCGTGGTGTCCCAAAAAGTGAGATCGCTAGTGAGATCGATAGTGAGATCGACAGGTGTCCCGTTGTGTCCCGTGGTGTCCCGTTGAGTGAGATCGATGGTGAGATCGATAGTGAGATCAATACTGAGATCGATGTTGTACCCCGAGGTGTCCCGTGGTGTCCCAAAAAGTGAGATCGATAGTGAGATCGACAGGTGTCCCGTGGTGTCCCGCGGTGTCCCGTCGAGTGAGATCGATAGTGAGATCGATAGTGAGATCGATGTGGTGCCCCGAGGTGTCCCGCGGTGTCCCGTGGTGTCCTATGGTGTCCTGTTGAGTGGGATCGATAGTGAGACCGATAGTGGGATCGAGAGGTGTCCCGCGGTGTCCCGTGGTGTCCCGTGGTGGCCCGTGGTGTCCCGTGGTGGCCCGTTGAGTGAGATCGATAGTGAGGTCGACAGTGAGATCGATAAGTTTCC